GAAGCAAAGCCGCGTGTCCCGGTCGTCCACCGAAGCCGAGTACCGAGCACTCTCGGCTGCCGCAGTTGAAGTAATGTGGCTCACCTATTTGTTTGACATCCTAAAGATTAAGCTTCCTCCTCCTCACCTTTTTTGTGATAATCAGTCCACCATCTGTCTGACAAAGAATCCTGTCTTTCACAAGCGAATGAAGCATGTTGGTACTGATTGCCATTTTGTACGAGAACAGGTAATTGCTGAACAAATGACAGTCTCGTATGTTCCTTCCCATGAGCAACTTGCAGACCTTCTCACAAAAGCTCTCTCTTCACCACGGTACTCTGCATTGGTCGCCAAGCTTCCGCTCATTTCACGGCGTTCAGCTTGAGGGGGGATGTTAGATAACTATGGTAATAGTTATAGTTATAGAAGGATTATTATTATAGTTAATTACCATATTTGGAGAATCCTAATTGATATAGGAATCTCCATCTATATAAACTACCTTGTCCACAATTATTTCCTTGAGTTGAAATCATAATTCAATAATATATATATATATATATATATATATATATATATATATATATATATATATATATTTGACATGACACCTTATGGTGAGATGACATGCGTCGGTCAGATGACGCAAAACTCACCACACTACATTACAAAGCTCACCAATGGACAATGCAAAGCTCACTTGGAAATAAAGCAAAGCTCACCACTCTGAACACAAAAACTCACCTTTTTTTCAATTTTGAAAATTAAAAAATTAATTAAAAATAAAATAGAAACACCGGTCAACCACCGGTCAACAGAAGTGGCAGGCGGCGGAGCAGCGGTGGCGGCGACTGGAGACCGGTGGCGGCCGGAGTCCGGTGGTGGCGGCCGGTAGTGGAGGCCAGTGTCCGGCGGCTAGCAGCGGTAGGCGGAGGTCAATGCTGGCATTCAACGGTCAAAATCTATTCAGCACTCCTTTCTTTGATTTTATTTTTGAGTAATTTACCTAAATAGGACTAAAACATAATGACTTTCTCCAAATAGGACCATATGTTTTTATTTCTCAATGTAGGACCTTTGGTCATTATTAATTAGTCATTATTCAAGTAAATGTCCATCATTGCTAGGCATTATTCCTTCCACGAAGACATTATTAAGTCCTATTTAGGGAATAAAAAAGTTTAAGTCCTAGATTAGGAAAGTCATTATGTTTTAGTCCTATTTAGTGTAAATTTCACTTTCTTTTTTCAAAAAAATTCAAAGTGTTGAAAGAATATGGTGACCTTTGCCTTAGAGTTTGGTGAGCTTTGCGTCATCTGACCGAAGCATGTCATCTCACCAAATGGATTTCTAGACGATTTCTTTTTCAACGAGTTCAATATCATATAGCCTTATAGCGAGAAAACTACGATCATACGGTTTCAACGAAGGTTATGCCAAGTAGTAGAGCATATAAAGTAACAAATACACATTCGTGTTCATGGATTTACGTGTTCATGTAATCGTCTAAATGTGGTCTAGGTGTTTTCCAACTTGTTCATACACATGTCAAATTTATTCACATATACATATGGAATGATGCTATTGCGATATTTATTGTTATTTTTCTCTAGCCTAACCATATTCTTCCTAATCTAACTGTTCTTCCACTTTTATTTCACAATCCTTATTGTTTATATTTGAGTCAAACATCCATTTAGCCTTGTATAACCATTCTATTTCATAACGGTTGTAATCCTCGTTATTCTCTACGCAACGTTTAATAGATCAAGAATATATCATGATATGAATCTATACACAAATATTCATATAAACAACAAACGTATTCGCATATAAATATATTAAAGATTCCTCCGTTATATCTAGGGTGTACATACCTCGAATACGACACAACGTTAGAAGGGACCGAACGAATCAACGGCGTCAACGAACGGTCATCAAACCGTTGACCTTCCGACTTCCAAACGGCTTTTTGAGTTCCGTTTCTTCTCGCGAATATGTTATAGGGGTTGTGGAGAGTTGGCACGCATTCAATGAGTAGCGGATTGGATGAGACGGAACGAGAATCGAGGCGGAAGTTGCAAACCTCGCATTTTCCGTCGCCACTGGACCAGTTTTGGTAAAACGGCCGTATCGCCTTCGTTACTCGTCCGATTGACAAACCGTTTGCGACTGTGGTTCACCGACTCGCAGGGCTACAACTTTGGTCAAGAAACCATGACCAAACAGTGAGTTTAAGATGGTCGAAATTCTGCCCAAAGTGGGCTGACGGGATTTTGCTTCCTAAAATCAGCACCTCCTTCTTCTTCTTCTCGTCCTTCTCCTTCTTTCTCTTCGCCGGAGCTCCGTCGTCTCCTGGGATTCTACTGGCCGGCGTCCATAAGGAAGAGGGAGAGTGATGGAGTTGGATGGTTGGTGGGTTACAAAATGATGGAGGAGTGGAAGGAGAGAAGTGGATTTATAATGATGGGGAGTAATGGTGGTGAGGTGGAAAAATAAAATGTGAATGAATGTGGAAAGATGGAAGTGGCGTGTGGTTTTAAATAGGGAGTTACCTTCCTAAATTCCACCCCGTTGTGTAAAGTCTGACCTGAGCGGTACACGGTTTTCCCCCCGAACTTACCCGAATTGAGAACTGATTGTGTTTTCAGAAATAACCAGTCAAAACTAAATTTATGATATCTTGAAAATAGTTTTTATAAAAACTTTATTTTCAAACTTCCGAGTCAATCCCAATCATTAATTAATTAAATTTAATTAATTAATGTTGAGAGGCCCGTTATTAAAATTCATTAACTTTGGAAGCCCATTTAATGAGATCGAAATCTCAATATTTATTACTTAAAATAATGAGTCTCAATAAATAAATAATATTGGCTAAATATTAGGCCGGTTTGTGGGGCGTTACAATATATATATATATATATATATATATATATATATATATATATATATATATATGCAAACCTTAAACCTTAGATTATTATTTCTCGAGACTTTAAAAATAATTGTACGCTTAATACGCAAAATTCTCTTAAAAATAGTTTTCTTTACTTATTATAGATAATCGTGAAAACAAATTGGTGTGACACAGTACTAGTAAATACATTGCGATTTCTCAAAACTTTGAAAATAGTTCTAAGCTTAGTAGTCTAAATGCTGTTTAAAAAGGGTATTCTCAAGTTATTATAGACAACTTGTAATAAATTACAGTTTCTATGAATTTTAAAAATAGTTCTACGCTATATAAATATACAACTGTTGCATGGAAGTCTTCTATTCTTATAATAAACAACTATGCAAAAAAACCATATGAGACATACAACTAACAATAGATTACTATTTTTTATAAGTTTAAAAATAGTTATAAACTGAAAAAAACCCGACTATTGTTTAGAAATAGTAGTCTTAACTAACTATTGACAATTGTGGCAACAAAAACTGTATTTTTAGATGAAACACACTACTAATAATAGATTACTGTTTCTCACAACTTTAAAAATAGTTCTACCCTTAATTCATAGACTACTGTTACAACAAAATCTTCTATTCCTATTGTAAACAACCGTGGAAAAAAACAATATGAAATAGACAACTAGCAATAGATAACTGTTTCTAATAAGTTTAAAAACAGTTCTAGACTAAAAAACCAAACTACTGTTAAATAGAGTATTCTTAACTTGTTATTGACAACTGTTGTAACAAAAACTGTATTTTGAACTAACACAGACAACTAATGATAGATTACCGTTTCTCGAAAATTTAAAAATAGTTTTAAAGCATCATAACTAGCCTATTGTTCTGTAGCCAAGAAAAACTCTCAGTAGTCTGCTTTTTTTAACTTCTGTGTTTTCATAAACATTAGTTAATCAACAGTCTTCTGATACTGTTTTTGGCGTAGTGGTATATAATAAACATATCTACAAATAAATCTAAAAAGATCTATTTGTTTGTCAAGAAACAATGCCAACTATATAGAATTAACATTACGAACAGTGATATATGATGGTGAATTTAACGATTTCGTACAAAGGAATAAGGAGGGGGGGGGGGGGCTTTAGTGTCTATGATTCATGTGGGTTCACAGACNNGAGGGGTTGTTTAAAGGGGGTGGGGGTTGCGAGTAAGGGACGACGGTATAGTAGGGGTTAGGATAAGGGGTCTCGTAACCATATTGGTCAACAAGGTGATGAGTAGGTGGTTGGGGGTGAGCATAGTAGGCATAGGCAGGGTAGAGGCTGGGTGATGGGGTGGGCTGAGGGCGTAAAAGGCTGGGGTTTGGGTCAGGGTAAAGTGATTGTGAGTATGCTAAGTCGTAGGTGGATTGCGGATTCAAAGAGTTGTTTCGTCCTCATCCTCGACTGTTGCTTACTCGACTACCGCTGCTATTGCCGTGGTGCTGTGGGTTCATGCCGACAAGGTTCCTCGTGATGCTGGTTTGGACCAAAGATTGCCCAAAAATAGATGGTGAGGACTTTTGGTTTAAATCAAAATTCTCGTAGTAGTAAAGGGAACAGATTAGACCTTTAAAAGATCAGTTTATCCCGTGTCGTCTCAAGGATCGGCCCAAGGGAAAGTTTAGCAAGACTAGCTAGACAAGATTTACTCGTTGAATTGAAAAGTTTTCAATGGGACGAATAAGGAATGGAGATTGAATTTTACCTTTCACGAATAAAAAGTAGGGATGTAATTATTAGTGAGATGATGATTCTTTTTAGAGTAAAATCACCGGTTACTTTTACTTTAAATCTTTTTACTAGTAAGTATCTTTCGGACTTGAGAGAGAGATGGGCGCTGTGCAGCCTATCAAATCGGAGAGGGGTGCTGTATTTATAGGACTGGACGCGAAGCGTCCGACCCCAGCCGTCCAGATCCAAAGCGTCCAAAATTGGACACCTTACACGGCCCGTCCATTCGTTGCTCGCCACGTGGCTTTCGTGATGCCCAATCTTTGCCAAGCGTCCAAGGGGAAGCGTCCAACCTGCAAAGCGTCCAAGGCTTGGACGCTTCGGGCCTTCTCCTGTGGGCTTTTTCCGCGGCTTGATCCAATTCAGGCCCAATTTCAATTTTTACTTTGCTTCGCAGTTTGTTTCAGCTTCCTCCGATATTCTCATGATAAAATTCTCAGTTAAAAACTTGTTTTTCTTTCAAATAAGAGCAGAAAAATCAACAATCTAGACTGGACGAACTTTAAACCAATTATTATTCCTTAAAGAACAAATCAAGGATATTGTTCATTTTAACATAAAATTATGCGCTGCTTATCGCTATTTTCGTGCAATAACGCTTAAAACATGTAGAATAAAATAAGAACAAAATGAACTTATCAAATTCCTCACACTTAAACGTTGCTTTCCCTCAAGCAACTACTTCCGACCACCAAAAATATGGCATTCTATTATTATTGCTGAAAGGAGCTTTAATTGCATCATTATGAAGCCAATTCAACTAACATAATCATCAGACTTCGTTGAACAGCTAAATGTTTAGAGTTGTCTCCCATTTCCCTAAAAATGTGCAAGTATTTTACCAAACATGTATTTTTACTTGATTAAATCAAATAGAAGTAGACCATTTACTGAAACGAATGTATTTCTTAAAAGAGTTATTAAGATCAAATAGATTCAACTATCCCTTATGAAGTCCATGGTTCACGAATTATTGCCAATAATGTAAAGGTCTTAATAACTTCAATTTGTGTTGTTCTCGACGAGAAAGCTTCTCATTTCACAGAAACTTAATTATTTCACCAAGATTGTGGATTTATTCTATGACAAATGCATACTTGCTCCCTCGCCTTATGCGATTAACGGGAGAAGCATAGCCCCTTTACGGAAATAGAATTTCCAATTCGTCACTTAAGCGCGATCTTAGCGAAAAATCATGATTAAAGGTTACAAGAAGCAAAAGTTTAATGCAGACATTTACACATTGTTAAAAATTCTGGTGAAATCAATAGCTTTTAAAAGTAATTAAAGAATCTGACTTAGGAAACCTTTTTAAGAAAATACTAGTTAATTCAGCCATGGTAATAGTCTATTCGGAAAAAAAATCACGTAAAAATAGAAGTTTGCCAAATACCATGAAAATTCTCAGTTTATATGCTTGACACCCCATCAATTAGCTATTCAATATTAGACTGATGATTATGCTAAAATCAAGATTGCCTATAAGTATACAAGTAAAACACGTTTCATTCAATCATTTCAACCAGGTGAGTGCCCTCCTCACACTTGAACACAACCGCGTCCCCGCGGTTGGAAAAAAAATGTTAGGAGTATAATACCGGGTTGGAATGATTGACTAATGACAAGAGAACTCACACATCGATAAGTCAAAAGAAGTTGATTGAAATAGGAATAGAGCAAGTGCATAAGTTAATGTTACCGGCGGAAAATAAGAAGTTCCAACAAGTCCAGTTGATCATCAATTCCTGCTCATAAACGAAAAGAAATAAAACTTCTCAATAGAAAATAATATGAAGATCACGAAGGGGGAGGAACTGAGGCGGATGGATCGTCGCCCTCAGGAGAACGTGGGGTGAGCCAGATGTGCACATCCGAGTAAAAGCTAGTAAATGTCCTCCGAAGCTGAGCAAAGTTCTCCGCCTGGGATGCCTGCTGTTGTCCGATTTCGGACATCCTCTGCAGGATGGTATCCTGCTGCTCCAGGATCCTCCTGGCCCATTCAGGGGTCGGATCTGCCTGGGTCGTAGCTGGGGTGGCCTGAGGAGTGGGTCGGCGGCGAGTGGCTCTCCTAGATGAGACTTGTGAGGATGCTCCTGAGGTCGAGGGCGCGGATGAGGAGGCGGCGTTGCTCTCGGTAGAACCAGCTCCCAACCTTCGACAGATGTGGGCGTTCCTCAGCATGCCGGCATCCAAATCTCGCATCATCATCTGAGCCCGTGGAATAGGTGTCGACCCTTCGAGGGATCGGAAGAGTATGGTGACCACGAAACCGCAGACAATGTGCGTCCGATTCCCCATGGACTGACTGTAGAGGAATCGGGCTACAAAGATAGCCACATTCACCTCCCGGCGTGTGTGCAGGCTCTAGAAGACAATCAAATCGTCGGGGTATACCCGGTCTATGTTCAACGGCCTCCCAAAGAAAGATGTCGAAAGCACGAAAGATAGGATTCGCCAAGTCGGCTGAATCCAAAACCTGGCTCGGCCCATGCCCTCGAAACGGTCTGGATCGGAAGAGTGTTCCGCCCAGAAGATAGCTAGATCAATGTCTGTGGGGAGAAGGTATGGTGCGGTATCAAACTCCGGTGCCGATGTTTCCTCCCAACTGTAGAGACCAAAGTGTGTAGCCAGATCGGCGACCGTCAGCTGAAATTCTCGCCCCAAGAGAGTGAAAGTGAGGGTTGTACGAGAGTGGATGGACTGGAAGTTCATCGACCTCGACCCTGTAGAAGGCTCCAGCTCTAGAGAGCACAGGAACTCGATCGTCAGTGGCAGGCTAGACTCGGCCCGCATCATGAAGAGGCGATGCCACCTAGTCCCTTGTAGCAGCTGCTCCATCTCTTCAGCGTATCCATATTCGGTGAGAACTGCCAAGGATAAGTACACAGATTCCGTCAATGAGCGGTGACGACCCCACATCTCAAAGCGATGGATGGGTCCAGAACCCACCAGGTGAACATCGGCACGCATGGCAGTCGGGTATGCTGGTATGTGAGGCATCTGCACATGAAGCACACATATAAAATCTTGCCCCCACGCAGGTGCGACAAGTCTCCATTCATTTATTCAAAAGAAAGGAACAACAGAAAATAATAACTGAATAAGGTAGAAATAACGGGTTGCCTCCCGTTTAGCGCTTCTTTAACGTCACTAGCTTGACGCGATTGCTTCACTTGTGGAGTTTAATCTCCACTTTCCCTTTTTGAAACTGCTCACCGAAATACCTCTTGATCTGTTGACCGTTGACCTTGAACGTTCCATACGGGAAAACTTTGGTGATTGTGTAAGGCCCTGTCCATCGGGAGCGAAGCTTTCCTGGGAACAATCTATAATGAGAATTATAAAGCAACACTTTTTCACCTTCGCGAAAGACCCTATTTTGCTTAATATGAGCGTCGTGATATAACTTCATCCTCTCCTTGTATAGCTTAGCATTGTGGAATGCTAATGCTCGCCATTCGTCTAGCTCATCTAGCTGGTAAAATCTTTCACGCCCGGCTTCAGAAGAATCAAGGCAAACATTTCGTAATGCCCATAATGCCTTATGCTCAATTTGCACTGGAAGGTGATAGGACTTTCCGTACACCAAGTGAAAGGGAGTTGTAGCAATTGGTGCTTTATATGCCGTGCGAAATGCCCAGAGAGCGTCATCTAGTTTCTCGCTCCAATCCTTCCTCGTTTTGGCAACAGTCTTCTCCAAGATTCTCTTTAAATCCCTGTTTGCATTCTCCACTTGCCCTTGAGTCTGCGGATGGTACACCACTCCTCCTCTATGCTAAACTCCATAGCGTTCCAATGGCTTAGATAGTGGATCATTTTGGAAGTGGGTACCCCTGTCACTTATTATCAATCTCGGAACTCCGAATCTTGAAAACAGTTTCTTCAAGAAGCGAACTACAGTGCGACCATCGTCTCTTTTGCAAGCTTGGGCTTCAACCCATTTGGAGACGTAGTCGATAGCAACGAGGATGTATTTATTGCCATAAGAACTCGGGAATGGCCCCACAAAGTCGATCCCCCATACATCGAACACTTCACATGGTACCATGTAATGTTGTGGCATCTCATCTCTCTTGGATATATTGCCCGTTTTTTGACAGCGGTCGCAGGAAGCAGCAAACTGATTAGCATCCCTAAAAAGCGTTGGCCAAAAGAATCCTGAGTCCAACACCTTTCTTGTTGTCCTTGCTCCTGAGAAGTGTCCACCAACTGGGCCACTATGGCAGGCTGCCAAAATCTCCTTTCCTGCTGCTTCAGTCACGCATCGCCGAACTACTTGGTCCGCACAAATCCGGAAAAGGTAGGGGTCGTCCCAAAAATAGAAGTGGGCTTCTCCTTAAGCTTCTTGCTTAGGTGCTGTGTCAACAAGGTAGGCTCGATCTTCCCTGCCAAAAAGTTGGCAATATCTGCATACCAAGGCTCCTTTTTTTGTATGATGTAGATCCTCTCAAAGGGAAAGGACTCGTTTACGATACAATTGCCAAATTGCTCGGCTACTTCCACATCTAGTCGGGATAGATGATCTGCAGCTTGATTTGCCGATCCTTTTCTATCCTTGATCTGTAAATCAAATTCCTGCAGCAACAAAACCCAACGTAATAACCGAGGCTTTGCATCATTCTTTCGCAATAGGTATCGCAACGCCGCATGGTCGGTGTAAACGACCACTGGAGAAAGAATGATGTAAGGCCTGAATTTTTCCAAAGCGTATACAATTGCTAGGAATTCTTTCTCAATGGTTGTGTAGTTGAGCTGCGCTCCTGATAAGGTTCTACTAGCGTAGTAAATTGGGTGAAAGACCTTTTCCTTCCTTTGTCCAAGGATTGCTCCTACTACTAGGTCGCTAGCATCACACATTAGTTCAAATGGTAGTGCCCAGTCCGGGGCAATAAGAACTGGAGCTGAGATTAGTTTTTCCTTCAAGGTTTTGAACGCTTGTAAACATTCATCCGTGAAAACAAACTCTACACCTTTTTCTAATAGGGCAGTTAGGGGTTTTGCTATTTTAGCAAAGTCTTTGATAAATCTTCTATAGAATCCTGCATGCCCGAGAAAACTTCAGATGGCTTTTACGGAATTCAGTGGTGGCAGTTTCTCTATAGTCTCGATCTTAGCTCGATCCACCTCTACCCCGCGACTTGATACCTTGTGACCTAAGACTATCCCTTCTTTGACTAAGAATTGGCATTTTTCCCAACTAAGGGCTAGGTGAGTTTCCTCGCATCTTATGAGGACTTTTTCCAGATTACCTAGGCATTCATCAAATGACTTCCCTGTGATAGAGAAATCATCCATAAAGACTTTCATAAAATCCCCTATAAACTTTTCGAAAATAGCTATCATACACCTCATGAAGGTGGCAGGAGCATTACAAAGTCCGAATGACATTCGACGGAATGCAAAGGTTCCGAACGGGCAAGTGAAAGTGGTCTTCTCCTGGTCTTCAAGGTTTACATGGATATGGAAGTAACCACTCATCCCATCCAAGAAGCAATAATACGCATGGCCAGCTAATTTCTCGATGAGTTGGTCAATGAAAGGAAGGGGAAAATGATCCTTACGTGTGGCATCATTTAACTTTCTATAGTCTATGACCATTCGCCATCCAGTTACCGTTCTTCCTGGAACTAACTCTCCCTTCTCGTTTTTGGTTACTGTCATCCCTCCCTTTTTTGGAACCACGTGGACTGGTGACACCCATTGGCTATCTGAAATAGGATAAATTATTCCAGCATCCAAGAGTCTAAGCACTTCCTTCTGCACTACCTCCATTAATTTTGGATTCAACCTGCGTTGAGCCTGCACAACTGGTTTAAATCCATCCTCAATGGCTATTTTATGTGTGCAATAAGCGGGGCTTATTCCTTGAATATCCTCTAGTTTCCAGGCAATTGCTTGCTTGTGCATACGGAGGACAGCTAATAATTTTTCCTTCTGATCAGGTGTTAGATCGGAGGCTATGACAACAGGGCACTGGCCCTCACTATAAAGGAAAGCATATTCGAGGTGTGCTGGTAAGGGTTTAAATTCTAAGGATGTGGCTTCGTTTGTGGGTTCAGATCGCGTCTTGATGTCGCACACTTCCTCACACTTAGGTTCTTGAAAAGAAATTTCTAGGCTTAGGAGATCTTCTACAGACCCTTTATCTTTTATGACTTTTACTGAGTTGCAGAACTCAGCTGGGTCTGGAGTCCGATTCATGACGCTCATCATTTTAAAAGTGACATCTTCATTGCCTACTCTTAGAGTTAATTCTCCATCGTGCACATTAATTAATGCCTTTGTGGTCGCAAGGAATGGTCGCCCTAGTAGTAGCGGCTTTTCCTTATCTTTTTCCATATCCAACACCACAAAATCAGCAGGAAAGATGAACTTATTTACCTTCACAAGCACATCTTCAATCACCCCCCTGGGGTAACGAATAGAGCTATCCGCCAATTGAAGACACATTTGAGTGGGTTTAAGTCCAGTCAATCCCAGTGCTTTCATGGTAGAGGACGACATTAAATTAATGCTAGCTGCTAGGTCAGCTAGAGCGTCTCCAAAGGTTCTATCGTTGATGGAGCAAGGAATGATGAAACATCCAGGATCCTTTCGTTTTCTAGGCATTTCCTCAAGTAACATAGCAGAGCATTCAGCATTTAAGCTGACAACTGGGAATTCCTCCCAATCCCTCTTCTTAGTTACGAGGTCCTTTAAGAACTTACCATATTTGGGCATTTCAGTTAACACATCTACCAAAGGCATTTTGACCTCAACTTGGCCAATGACATCGAGAAACTTTTGGAAAGCCTTTTCATCCTTGTTCTTTTTCACCCTAGTAGGAAAAGGGATAGTGTTTAGCTGAGCTTGGTTGGTTGGTAGGGTTTGGCTAGAAGAGGTTTCTTCCTTTCCCGCTCCTTGGGGCGTGGATTCATTTTTCTTTTGCGGGGTTGTTCCTATAGGGGTATCCATGGGTACTTCATCTATATTGACTTCGACTTCTGGGTCTTGAAGCTCTTTACCACTTCTCAAAGTTATTGCCCGAAGTTGCTCCCGTGGGTTTGGTTCAGTGGTAGCTGGGAG